GTCTAGTAGTGTACAAGGTTTTAGCTAAGATTTTTAAACACTAGTCTCAGAGGGCTTTAACTAGGCGACGAATGCATAATAAAATATCTCAACTGTGCCAACTCTGTTTTAAAAATCTAATTTTATTAATAATTCTGATTTTTAAGACTCCTAACTCTTTAATACTCCTAATTCTAGTTTAAAGTTATTTTTTATTATGAATCGTCACGATGTGTTTAAAAATTTTTGAAAAATTCCATTTATTTTGAAATTCCTTTGAAACATTTCCTGTACATTTAAACAATCGGCTAAAATTAAAAGGAAAAAAAATCGAATGCAGGCTCTTGTAATCAAAATTTTTAATTCTCATTCTGGAGATGAACGAAAATGAAACTTCAAAAATTTAACCTGAAACGAATTTATTAAAATTGTAATTACGATAGCGAAATCTATTTTCCAGTTAACTCAATTTACCTGATTTCTCACTTTATAATATCCCAATGACTTATTTTTTAACTTGATCATGCTATTAATAAATCTTTGTATTCAAATATTCGACCTTTTTATTTGAAATATCTTATAATAGCGTTTTTAATTCTACATATGTATGTGAATTCTTCCATATGTATATTCTACATATGACAAAAATTTCTCCTTTCTCTTTATCCAAAAACAGATCAGTATAGTTAAGACATATTATCTGTCATAGTGGCGCGTCTTGCATTTCCTGTTGTCTTAAAACTCGGTTCTAGTGAAGTTGTTCTCGTCGGATTACTATATAGTCGAATGGACTTTTCTTTCAATTTTGTTTTGCTGAATTTTTTTCCGTTGGAATATGATGACTTCTTGAACGTTGTAATGGACATGTGATGCATTTTGACCGCCTCCGCCTGATGCATTTTACGATTCTTATCTGTGATTTCAGTTTGGAATTCGATTGGAAAAATCACTACATTTAGAGTTAAATCATTAAACAAATATGACTAAAACTTTAAACGAATCTAGAACACTATACCATCAACGGCAGTATGACAGCTCAAACAAAATATGCAGATCAAAACTAAAAAATATACGACGTTACTTATTGCATTTGTGAACGTTGCGTATAATTACCGTAAAAGTTTTATATTGAAGTTATAAAAAATAAAAGAAATAGAAATTTCAGATCCTTACTTAAAAGTAAATAATTGAATTCATCACCTAAACAAGATATACATGAATCTTGTATTACAGTGAAACTGTATTCAGTATTAAACTTCCACAACTTCAACAACAGATTTATATAATCGAAAACAACATTTTCTGGCTTGGTAATAAAAAAGGAATAAAAAAGGTAATAAAAAAGCTTATAAATTAATTAATCAATAAAATTGATTAAAATAATAATAAAATTGGTAATAAAAAAGCTTTTTTCAGGTCCCCAAATTTACTTGTAAGTAGCAATTCTAAGCTTAATTACTTCAAAAACAGAACTTTGACATTTCCGGCACATTTCTTTAGATCACCTTAAGCTAGTAAATGTTTTTTCAGTAACATTCTTCGCAGAAGCATGAAGAAGACTCATGCCAAGCGTTTACAGAGTTTCTTTTTGCAGAACTGGCAACAATCCAGTTTCCTATTTAAAGAACCATTGACCGTTATGTAATAATAGCGAAGCAGAAGATAGATGATTCTCTGTTTTGTTAATTTATTAATTTTATAAAGGTAACAGATATTACGATAAAAATTAATATGGATGGCTAAAATCAATTACTGTTGAACCATAAATAATTCTGATGAAGCATACTAAATTCTAACACTATCTAATTTCATAAGAATTTCAATATTTAATTTTATAAGAATATCTTATTTCATATGTTACACATTGAGGCTTATTACAATAAGTGTCTCAAATGTTCATCTTTGATAGTACATGAATTTCGATACAGAGTGTTTAAGAAAGGTGACATTTTTAATGTTGACTGTACATTAGGTTTGTCTAACTATAAGCTGCCTTCGTAGAGGAACGTGAAATGTGGTTACAAACGTCATATATATATATTGATCTTAAAGCTCAAAATGTATTCTTCTTGTTACGAAATTTCTCGAATAAAGCGCAGAATTTTTTAGAACATTTCAAGAATAAAAAAAATAGCTTTCAATCTGATTCCTGTAGAGAAGAAAACCAAGTTAGAAAATGTTTATTACATTTTAAGAAGTGAAATGAGAAATGTAAGACACCTTGATCTGCAAAGTTCAGTGAGATATTCGTGATGAATGTGATCTTGTTAATAACTAGCTTGTTTCGCTATTACAAATGTCTTCTCCCCCCCCCAGTGTTGGAAAAATCTCAGTTAATTAGTCAAAGATTAACGTAATTTTAACATCAAAAGAATTATTAAAAAACTTAGGTTTTTCCCTTGGGGGAATTCTTCAGATCTTGAGATGCAATGCTGAATGTGAAATAAGACGGGTGATAAGATTGATTTGAAAGCACATAGCACATATATGTTGTATTTCTGCTCACGCTAAAACTTACGTTTGATTTTCTTTGACGGCGGGTAATATCGACTGAACTTCCCTAAGAATGCAGTTATTGGTCGCCACTGACTTAGCGTCAACTCATAGGTCCCTTTGAAACCTATGAGTTGATTCGTAGCTTTATAAGTGAGTGAAATGAGTGTATTGCATCATTCCTGATCAAAGTGTAGATGAGAAATGATGCAATAAGTTTATATATATATTATAAATGAAAATTACATTGCAACACATCGGTTCGTTTTATCGTTTGTTTGGTGACCTTTATATTCAGAACGACTCGGAGCCAATCTATAGATCAATGCTCTCAAACTGACGGATCGCGAGTCGCATGCGCCCCCGAAGCAATTTATGCAGCCCACCAATAAATTTGAGTTACGTATTTGTTTTAATACAGTGCTCATATATTTCGATATTGCATAAATTCATTGGGCAGTAGATTGCAATATAGTGTTTATTGAGAAAATAAAAAAGCACTGGCAAACATTTCGGAATTCGTTATCTTCCAGTTACGTTTGAAGCTAATGCTGGTACACAGTCAAAAGTACGTATGTAATGGCTAAATAACAGCTCTCTGACAGACCCGCAGAATTAGCTAAGAGGGAAAAAAGGACATTAATCATAGCATCTCAGGAAATGGTAATTTAAAATATAAACACAAAAAATATTATAAACTTTATATACATAAATAACTTTATATATTGTGTTCATAAATACGATTGCTATTGAATGAAAAAGAAATACGAAGGACATTAATCATAGCATCTCAGGAAATGGTAATTTAAAATATAAACACAAACAATATCACAAACTTTTTACACCTAAATAACTTTATATACTGTGTTCATAAATACGGTTGCTATTGAATAATAAAGAAATAACAATGATTAGATTTACGATGTCAGTTAAATGCAAATAATTTGTTAAAATTAAAGGAAACCGGAGGATACCATTGACAGTAATCGAAGGCTACTGGTGAGTATCAAAACCGTGATTTCCTTGATCATCAAAGTGGCCCACCAGCGGCCGAGCGGTAAAGACGCTGAACACTGGTAGTTCGGTCTGAGGTTCGAATCCCGCGAACGGGCTGGCTGCATGGGCGTTTTCGTGGTTTTCCCCATGTGTAACGTGTATACGAGCCAGTTTCCCTTAGAAAGTCCTCCACGAAAGGCATCCCTCCCTTTAGGCAGATAGCCCTCGTGTGCTTTGCCATAATTAAATACACCAACACCATTGATCATCAAAGTCACAGGATGACATATAGGTTTTCAATCACCAGTATAGGCAATGTTGTTGCAGGGATGATACTTGCCAAAGCACTGGATGTTATAATCCTATTAAAATTGCTGTATTTTGCTGGCGCTGGTTTAGTTTATAAACAATTTATGCTTTACATCGCTGAGCTTTCCAGCAAAGAAAACTCTTAAATCTATTACCACTGTTGAGGAACATAGTGGACCTTGAATAGACGCTGTAAAGTCTGCTAATAAATTTTAGTAAAACAACATATATATGTGTAGAGTCCATGTGAGCGGTAGAAGTTAAATCCATGGCGTTTCTTGATTAGAAAACATTTTAATAAACCAAATACACATATGGCACACAAAATACACGATACAAGATACTTATAGAAAACTACTGATGTCTTATATCTAGTTTTGAATTTTAATTTTTGTAGCTAAATCTAAGAAAGCATTCCTAATAACTCTAAATATATTCAAACTATATATTTTAAATATTTATATATATTTTATATAAACTATATACACCAATTACTTCCTAGTCATGACTGAGATGTTTTAGAGAGTTATAGCTAGCACATGAATAGGATAAGTAAAATAGACGAAAAGAATTTGGAAAACCCCAGATAGCTGAATAATCACAATTTAACTTTATTTTTTTAAGTATAATTTCTTTGGACTTATATTCCTGAATTGTACATCACTATGGGGGCGACAAATACTCTACAATTCTATATACACTTTTCCTATTTTTAAATAATAGAAGACAGAGCTAAGCGAAGAGACCTGAGCTAGCCAGGCAAGAGCAAGTAGAAAAGTGAGTGCCCACTTCAGCAGGACCTATACATAAAGTCGCAACCCTTTGTTTAAGAACTGAACGGTGATTATCCAAGAGTTCTATGCAATGTAGATGCGCGTAATTTTTTAAGTGAAGCAGTTTAGATTCCAGGGAGGGGACGTAGCCAAATTAAAGTTAGCAATTTTTAGTTTCATATTTTTATCTCGTAGATACAGTGGTATGATATTATTGTAATATTAATAAATTATATATTATCATTTCTTTAAATATCATGCGGAAATCGATGAATCACAGTTTTGAATCAAAAATGTAGAATACCACAAATTTTAAATCTCTAATAAATAAATAGATTACTAGTAGATTTACAGTTAATAAATTATTTAAAAGATACAATTTTTGAATATTTTATGATTCCTTCATTTAAGAAAATTGGATAACATTTTTTAAACTTTAAATTTTTTCAGAAGGACCTGTTATGCTTTCTACCCCAAGCCACGTAAATGTAATCCAAGGAGATTCTATTGTATTGCCTTGCAATGTTCTGAATATCGGTAAGTACTATTAAGTGGTTTAACTAACGTGACTCTTTAGATTAACTACACTGTATTATTTCTTTAATTTAAATTTAGTAATGCAATATAATATTTGCGAATTTACATTCAGCAACACTGCTGGGAGATTGAACATGTCACCATGACACTCTCTCACGTTACTTCCCGCTCACTGCTCTGTTCTTTCTACTGACGTCTTTTAAACAGAGTCATTTACTGGGAGTATGCAACCATACTAATATACTGAACAATATTCAACGATACATTCATACGATAGGCAACAATTTTGTTTTCTGTATTGCTCGATAAATAACCACATTCTTCTCCTAAAAAAGAAAAATGTACAATATAGTTTCAATAATAAAAAAATCCACATTTGCCAGGTCATGTACGTTGAATATTATCGGCAGAGCAACAGTGTATTGAAAAGCCGTAATATGTTTAACTGAACTGAACAAATTAATTCTGAAAGCTTAAAAAGAGCTTGTGCATTTGCGATATTATACATGACTATAATACGAAAAGCGAGAGAGAGAATGGAGGAGAGTCACAGAAAATTAATGGAATTTTTAGAGTTGCAATAAATAATTTTACCGATTTCCTATTTAAAGCAATAAATAAAAATAAAAATTGCAAATGTTAAGCCTCACAAGCCACGTGTACTGTTTTAAAGTATAAAACTAAGATGGTACTCAAATAACAATTTCTGGGTACCAGGAGAAGAGATTAATAAAGTCACATATAGAAACAAAGTCTTAATTACAAAATTTTTAAAACTGAGTTTGTATTAACTAATTGCTTAATATTCCAATGTTCTCCACAGAAAGTTCGCAGAGCTAGTGCAGTTATAATTTATAAAGCCAACTCTTTTGAGAAATTCTTAACTGATGAGGGAACAATCATTTAAAAATTTATCAGATTATCACAAATGTTTTCTTGTGAATTAGATATTTTGCATTTATGTAAAGGTATCATTGCGAATGAAAACAAACTTTGATCAGACAGAGTGTCGGAATAGATGCCGATGCCCTGACGTTAATTTGTGCGTTTCGTATTAATATTAGATTTAGATTAAATAAAGATGTAGAAAACGTCAACAGAATCAGATTTACTTGTGATGATGATGAAACTTAGTTATTCCATACTTAGTAAGACAACAGAGCAAAGAAGATGAGATTCAAGGAAACAGAGTAGTAGGTAGACAAACAAGCAATTTTGAACTATGAATTTGAAGAAAGCTTGAGTTTTCCTGAGTAAGAATATGATGCGATTCTGCTTGTAATAAACTGGTCCCTCCGAGCTGCAGATTTTATGAAGGAAATAAATTTCGCTTCAAAATCTGAACACATATGAATTTTATTTTTGAACTGTTAGGATATTCATGGAGGTGCGGTGGCGCAATGGCTAACGCGTCGCGCAATAGCACCACAGGTCCGGGGTTCGATCCCTGGGCTGGGCAAGGTTGACTCAGCCTTTTATTCCTTGAGGGGTCGATAAAATGAGTATCAAGTTCGCTTGCGGACCAAACACCGGGAATCCTGCGACAAGCTGACCTCTTGTCCATAAAAGATGCACAAGCACCCCAGAACCCGCGGTCTAGAAAGCAGATATCTGGGCACTGCCGGACAGGGCTGTTTGTGCCGCCGAGTTTAGTTTAGTTTAGAATATTCATACTTATGAAAATAGCATCAAATTTTAAGTGTAGAATTTATATTGTTATTTATTAATCGTGGATGAAAATACTGAGAAAGTTTAGATTAGGGCAGGCGAACAGCAAAATATTAAGGAGATTAACGATACAACTAATTAATAGAACATGTGAATTATTAGAAGAAAAAACCGTAGATATAAAAAAGTTAGAGGAATGCGAGATAATTCTACAAGAGAAAGCAGAACTTTTATTTAAATTAGATCTGGAAACTGAGAATTTGATTCATTTATTTAAAGGATTAATTAATTAATTTAATTAAAGGGTCTCGAAATCGAATCAGAGAGATATGAGAATCAGACAGTTCACTATTTGAAATAAGTGAGATAAATCTTCACTTATTTCAAGTAGTGAACAACAGAAGCGCCGAGTAAGTTTGCTGAAATTACACGTAGTACCTTACAAAGGCGATTTCAGAAAATTCCAGAAATTCTGAGTACAACTTGAGAATGGGTTTTCCTAACAATTAATGTTTACCTAAAGGCCATAAACATGATTATGTTAAAGCTTTCTTAAAAGGACCACTCTTAAATAGTATTCAAGGGGGTACTGGTATTAGAAAATAATTATGATCTAGCACAACGGAACTGGTTACAAACTGTATAGAAAAGAAGATATTGTTGTAAGATCCCATGTTCATTATTTATTACCTTTAAATACTGTTAATTTAAAGGCCTTCCATTTGAAACAACTACTAGAGGCTATTCGATGCATAAAAAATTCCAAGCATGCGGTTCAGAAACTCTTGCTGTTGAACTAAATTCATATGCAAGTTTGCTTTTCCTGTTGATCAAGAAACTTATAGACAACATGAAAAAATTATTCTTAGAAAGTAATATAGCCACTTAAAATTCTGAAAAGAGAAATAGAAACGCAAGAACAAACATTTGTGTTTCGACAAACAAGGAAGAATAAATTTTTATTAATTTAATTAAACTTATCCTGAGAAAAGAGCCCTTAGGGGCTCACTCTTTGGCAGTGCAGGTGTGGCAAGGTGCCCTAGCCTTCAAGGTGTTACTGTCTTGTTGAGACGTGTTTACGATCCTAGAGCCCTAGTGATTCTTCTCTCCTTTCCTTACCAATTCTCCTTGTATGTTCTTTTTTATATTTCTTCCTTTTTTGCGGTTTTCCTTTTAGAAGGGGCTCAAAATGAGACGTTGTTGCATCCCTTTGTTTCTAGTTTCTCATGGCAAAAAAACCTTCTACGCATTTGCTTGCACTGCGATACGTAAGGCTGGAAAGGAGGATCCTGGTAGTAGAGAGGTGAGGTACTATCCCAACACATTGCTTTGGCCTTTTTTAGACTGAAACGGAAGGCACTTAGGTGTCTTGCTAGTATTAGTCGGCTAATCACTTGCCCTTAGTGTCAGTGGCTTGGAGATAAACTCTCGGGAAAGCTGAATGTGGGATTACAGATTGCCTATAGACCCGGCTAACGCTGGAGCAGGAATCTGCGTCAATGTGTTGGAGTCTGTGGTGGATGGAGATGCCGAACCCGTATCTTTCTTAATCTTCAGATATGGCCACTTTAAATATATCGAGTACTACAAACAATATTCCAAAAAAATGGCCAAGCATGTGTAAAAGCAGATGATAATATAATAACACCTACATTTCTGGTTATTAATAACTCAACGGGCCATCTGCTGAAAATGCAACCTTTCCTCGTTCTGAAGAATCTACAGTCTTGTATAGGTGAACCCAAGAATATCAGTTTGCTGAGGTCTGGCTATCTTCTTGTTGATACATCTTCTCCACCGTATCTATCCGTAAAATCCTTCGATTAAGGAAGGTTAGGGTAGTTGACCTAGTTGTCTTGGAGCACAAACTTTAAATTTTCGTCAAGGTGTTATTTCAGAGATTGACCTCCTATTCGTTGAAAAGGAAATACTCTCTAAGCTGTCCGACAACTATCCAGAAGCCGTTGGTTCATCAGAAATACGGCCATACATGAGGAGTTGGAAATTCCAACTATCTCAAATTATTTCGCACTCCTTGCTGACAAATGTTTCTATAATATTCCTAATGTAAACAATAGTTCCATACCTGTGCCTCAATATGATTATACACTTGATGTAAACAGCAAACGGCCACTTGCGGTACTAAGATACCTAAATTAATGCAATCTTTATAATTTACTTAATTAAACACTCTCCCTTACTAGTGTTTTGAATTGACTCGCCGCCTGCTTAAATGTCTGTATATAGTGTACATATTTCTCTCTTTATGTATTTATGTATTTTCTCTTATAATGTATTTTTAATTACTTATGGAAATGTTATGTATTTATGTTTATATATTTGTACTTATGATGAGTGGTCACATGGACTTCTATTCAGACTAGCGATAGGCAATTTCTTTTTACTTATGCCATTGCACACTTATCTCCGTCTAAGGCATATCAGCTACTGGTGTTTCTTCTGGACTCAATCATCGGTTCTTGTTACGAACTCATTGTGCTTTTGAATTTTCTATACAACTGTTCGACGCTCAAAGACTCGAAAATCGCACACCTCTTATGCCGGGATAGCGTCGTAACGCGGGAACCCTCTTTGCGATAAACTCATCGAGTTTGCCTGAGCCGAGACTAGAATGTCTGTGCTACTAGGCAAATTAAGCTGCGCAGAGAAGATCAGTTGATAAACACGGAACACTTACCTTGACCTCCAGTTCGCCTGATTTGTGGAAAAGTATTAAGCCGAGTATTTACACTGGGTCATAAGACCTTACGTACCAAACCTCTTACATTGCTTTCAGTAGCAGCGTTTCGGCTACTCGAAAATGTCCTGCCGTATCAAAGTCACATGTGCATGTTGCTCTGTGGAAGACTATGACAGCGATAATTGTAGTGCCAACTGCAAAGAGCGCACAGCATTTTCTAGAATATGCTCAAAATGGAAGGCGAAATAGGAGATTCAAGTGACAAAAGTTAGGAAGAATATTTCGTATGTTGAAGGTAGTAGGTCAGTAGCAGAGACATAGCCACGGAAAAATTTATCCTACGCAAATGCTTTAAAATCATTAGACACACAAACAACAATATACGTACAAAATAAACAGCCAAATCAAAAACAGCAACAAATCGTAGCACTATAATCAAAACTATCAATAATTAAAATACGGTATAATAAACAAATAAAAGATAATCAAACTGAAATACCAAAGGAAAACATCTGATGCGGTCACTACATGACCTCCCTGTACATATGCGTGTATTAAACTATACGCATTTTTTGCTGCATTTTATTTAAACTTATTTCCTCGAAATTCATAAGAGACATATTTTTCATTC